TCACGAGAACTCAACCCTACGATATTAATATCTTATTTTATTCATTATATGAATGCTATGGGTGTAATTGGTATATGGGTTGTGAGGATCAAACACTTTGTATCTCTTATTCTTTCTTCATTCAACAGTGAAAACACCCCAACACCCCCTAGAGGTAGCCCGATTATGGGTAAATCTCTCATGTCTCTTGATTGCATGTTCTTACTTAATTTCTATTTACAAGTGCAATCCCTAAGCACTAGAAATCGTTCTAGAGAACGACCTGCTTGGTCATGCCATGTTTGTTTGGAAGGATTGCCGACCTCAATCTCGAAGAGGTCATTTTCTATTAAACCAAATTTAGGCATCAACAGTTTGGCGTCGTCTGTGTAAAACGACACGAAAATCCATATCGTTTACATCATCGTTATCTCCTACCTGGTAAAACTCCACTTGCACCAAGAACGCCTCCTCCGCAAAGATTGCTCCGACAAAGTTTCTGTTGAGACACCTATATGTCTTCCATCTGCGTTGCCTAGTCTACAAAGCAAAGACCGCAACAATTGAAAAAGAAGACATCGAAGAGAAACCAAAAGTAATCTTCTCAAAGCGTTATTAGTTAGCCAGAGGACGCATATGACCAACAGGAAACAAGAAACAAGACAAAAAGGAAAATGGGCATGGCCTTGTCAATGTCATGTTTCACTGCATATAGCTTTTATTTTAAACCCACATATTTTTGGGTCACACTCCCTACACGAATGAGAATGCAAAGTACAAATGCTCTTACAATGTGAACCAAGGGAACAGCAACCAAAAGAAAATCAGGGGACTTCCTTACTTGTTTCAATTGCTTTTGTTTGCAGCAATTTGATCACACGAACGTCCCCAAGACAAAAACAAAATAGAGAGCAGCCACACATGTCAAAGGGGAAATTCTATTTTCACTCAACATCTGAAGCAACATTCTTATATATGGTTTCCAGTGTAAGAAAAGATGGGGCAGTCGACAGAAATTTCTCCATGGATTTTTCAACATGGCACGTGGATTTTTCGAGTGCCTGGGATATTGGGGATGCCTCATTATTTCCCACAAATGCTCCAAATTTGGTTCCCATATTTGATATATATCGTTTCAAAAAGAACAAATTTGAAGACGCGAAGACTATCATCACAAGGCCCAAAAGCATTGCCCATTGATCAGCACACTCATCATATTGGTCTAACATCTGTACATATATTCGTGCTCTAACATGAGGCATGGTTCTCACTTTACGAGCCAATGTTTCAGCCAAGGTTCCTCCACCGCGACTCCAGGTCCAAGGGAAATGAAGGTCCCGACTAAAGAGAAGCCACAAAAAGAAAGTCTTGTTACAACTATTGATAGTTTTTCTGGTCATTTAGAAGGTTTTTTTTATTATTTATAGATTATCGACTTTTCGGAAAGAATTTTAGCGCAAGTCCAATTGGAGAAGAAAGTTAAGACATCAAATATCATTGGGTGAATTTTAGCGCAAGTCCAATTGGAAAAGTGAAAGTTGAGAAATTCGTAAACAAAAGAAAATTGGGGTAAGCGACGGATGGGCGCTATTTTATATTTTAGGGTATTCGGAGCCACAGGACATGCATGCTTTGTGCCCTAAACTATGAATTAGTGGGATTAGAAGGGAGTGAGTTCATGGCATCACCTCATATGCAAATTTATTTATCTTGTATGGTTGCATAATTTATGTATCTTGTATTGTTTGATGCATGACACTTTGATTAACTGTGATAGTTGACCTTGAGGGGTTTGACGGTACTCAACTGGGCATTAGAATGCTCATACCCTAATAGATTGTGTGTGATTCAAGGCGAAGTTTGAGGAAGCGGGTTTCAACCAAGCTACTAGGCCTTTGTTGTTGATTTGTGTAATTTATATTTCTAAGTAGTCAACCGTTTGTTAAAGATCTTAAAGTGTATTTAACTACGAGTTACTGTGACTCTAATTATGTGTTATTAAGTAAATTTTTATTATTTGTGGTTCTATTTCTCATCATATTATGGTTGTAGGATTTTATTCTTATGACTATGATATGGCTCACACCCTGATTCGGGAATATTCCTTTTTCTAGAATCGGGTCGTGATAGTGGAGGAGGAAGCGTGAGACTGCATGAGTGGTTGTCTTATTTATTTTTTTAATTTTTTATGAAGTTTTATTTATTTATAAAGTTCTTATTTGCCTTTTATTTTTCTTTTGTTTTTATGTATTTGATTTTTATTTTACTCAAAATTATAAATATACCCTTAGTATTAACAGAGAATTGGACGAAATCATCTAAAATCTAATGACAGGTTTGAAATTGGCCATTTCAATTAATTCAAGTGCTAAATTGGCTGACTTTTAGTTCAAGGGGTTAAGTTCGATTAGGGTCCTAATTCGGGGGGTATTTCAGCAAAATTTTAACTAAAAAATAAGGAGCATAATTGTAAATGCTCTCATAATTTATAAATAAACAAGTTCCCTATATAGTCATTGTACACTTTGACATTTTACATATGCACTTACTTAGTATTACTAATGTTAAATATTATTGTTGCATCTCAGAAGCCAGTCTAGACGATTAGAGTTCATGTAATTGGAATGAGCTATTAATGATATGATGTATATTTGTTTGCCGGTGCAGTGTAACTTTACAATTTGACAAGAAAGCACAATCCATGATTTATATAAAGAGATATTTAGTCAAATACCCATTCTTAGCACTAAAACTATAAATAAACCCCATACTATTTAATTTCTATAAACAAACCCAAAAAAACCCAAAAAATGACAATTGGCCCTATTGAATTTAATTTTGATTATTAAATTACTTTGATGTCCTATTGAGTATTTTGGGTTTGTTTATATGTTTTGGGGTTGGGTTTGTTTTGAGAAATCAATGGCAGTTTTGTAATTTAAAAGAAGTTAAAAGCCTTTTTGTTATGTTATAAATGAGTTTTGGGTGTGTTTCTAAAGTCCATTTCATATGGGGTATTTTTATAATTTGGGCTCATATATTGGGTATATTAGTGAATCTCCTGTATATAAATGAGCAGATATGGGCTTAGCCAAATTGGGTAGAGCGGATGTGTTTCTCACTATGCACCTGAGTTCTAATCATCCTCTCTATAATTTGGGCTCGTTTGGTACGTCGGACTGTACTGACTAATTTCTGTCGGATAGTACTAATCTGTTCCGGAGAGTACTGACTATTTATCCATAATATTATAAGGCGTTTGGTGATGTTCCGGATAAATAGTTTGTCAAAGTTATACTGTGTTTGGTGATGTTCCGGATAACATCAGATTAGACTATTTTAAAAATAAATAAAAAACTTTGATAATTTTAATGGAAATTGAGATTCAATCCCACAACGTCGAATCAATATATCACATACAAAGAAAACATTCGATTAAAAAAAATGTCAACAAATAAAAATTAATAACTTAATTTCCACAAAAATTTAATAAAAAATTGAAATATATAAAGAATAGAGAAGAAGTAAGATGAAGCATATTGGAGAGAGTATGAAAAAGAGAGAGAGAGATTGAGAGATGAATACCTGGAGAGGAGTGAAGAAAATAACATGTGGAGAAGATAGCAGAGAAGAACCCTAGGGAGAAGAAGATGAAAAGATCGTCTGACTTTTTTCGTAGAACGCGTGTTCTTTTTTCCTAGCCGTATAATTAAGCGTATATTATCTAATCCGAGGTGTGTGGGCTGTATTAGTTAGTCAGGTAAGTAGAGTATTAAAAGCCCAACCCGTATAAAATAGTCGGATAATTAAATAATACAAGTTGACACCAAACACCTGACATAGACTATTTACTCCTATCCAAAGTCTAATACGGTGTACCAAACGAGTAAAATATTGCTTGTATAAAAAAAAAATTATATAAAGAATTATTAAACGATCACTGTCCTTCAGGCCCAAAAGAAAATGCCAGGGTGCTTAATTTCAATTAATTAATTTGGCACACCAACTGAGTATTCCACTTCTTGGAAAGTGATGGTTGCTCTAGTATTCAAACCCTTGAATTTCCTTATTCCAATATCACACGTCACCCATGCTGTCCAATTCTTAATTTCCACATTTCATAGGCTTGGACCAAAAACAATAATAAGAAAAGCACAACGACCCAGTATAAAAATTTGGGCAAAGTATAATTTTGAACTAGTACAGGGTGCCAATGGGTTCCCACCAGGGCCGGCCCTGACTTTTGGATGGCCCTTGGCTAGAAATGAAAATGATGCCCTTGGCTAGATAAATAAAAGAATTTCTAGTACATATTAGCTTTCTTTCATTGATTGCTACTTTTAGCAATTAAATACTTTTTGGCAATTAAATACTTTAATACATGTAATTGATGTTTGTATATTATATAATTTTCATTTGGACTCTTCAGAAACACTTGTAATCAAACTTGGGGCCTCCAAATGCCAAATTATTGAAATTATTCTCCTCTAAAATCATATTCTTCAACTTGGTACATATATAATATATATAATTTGGGGCCCTACAAATGCGAGGCCTGTGGCCGTTGCCCTCCTTGCCCACCCTCAGGGCCGGCATTGGTTCCCACCACAGTGGGGAATGGTGGCTTCCCCTCCCCATGTCAACCAGTTTGAACCCGTTTGAACTCCAATGTAACCCCAAAAATAAAGTTGAACGTTAACTATTGCAATGATCACTCAACTTGTACCCAACTTTTATTCTAGTGACTCAGTTCAATTTTAAAATTCTATTTGTTTGTATACTTTCACTTGTATCTTATTTTCATCAGAATTTTGTGTAATTTTCTGTTAATATTAAGGGTACCGGAGAGGGTGATAGTCAAACTCTTGTCTAGCAATGTAAGAGAAAATACCAAGTAAATAGTTGGATGCATCGTTATAAGATGAGGAAGGCCATGGATATCAAACAGTAAGTCAATAGCACGACACAGATAATAGTGTCATTTAGATCAGAGAAAATCCATGAGCATTATTTCCACAGAAATGCAACAAGCTGTTCTCATCTCTTCCCTTTGCTTAATTTTAGTCGCTTTTTCCAGAGTTCTTGGAGAAACCCAAAAAGCCTGCAAACAACTTCACTGTGGGGATCATGGCCCTGCTATCCATTTCCCTTTCAGGCTCAAAGACAGACACCCAGATCATTGTGGATATCCTGGGTTTGTTGTATCTTGCAATGAAAGACATGAGACTGTTCTTGAGCTGCCAATTCCAGTCAAATTCTCTGTGAATACTATAGATTATAAGAATCAGGAAATCTATTTATATTACCCAGATAATTGCCAACTGGCAAAGCTTTTAGAAACCCAGAACATGTCATTCTTTCCCTTTTACGTAATTGACCAAGGGAACTTTATGCTATTCGATTGTTCTTCAGGGCTTGAGGAATCTGGAGAGGTTGCTGTCCCCTGTCTTAGTAGCCCCGGCCACCATATTTATGCAGTGTATTCTTCTGATTACGTTGAAGGCCTACAATATTGTACCAAGACGTCTGATGTTTTATCAGTCCCATATAAATTTCGTTGGTCTGAACCAAATTGTACAGAATGTGAAGCTAAAGGAAAGAAGTGTAGATTGAAGAGTAATGGCACCAAAAACGAAATCGAATGTGTACATGAAGCAAATATGAGTAAGTGGGGTAACATTTATTTATTTATTTTCATATATATACAGACATACATACATACATATATATATATATACGTATTGTGCTTCAGTTTTTACAGATTCCAAATTTCTAATAGAGCATAGATGTTTACACTTTCTGCTTGCTTATTCATCCATCATTTTTTCCTAAGCAAAAACTAAAACGAAATAATCTTCAAACCGTGTGAAGTTGTACCAAATTCATGTACCCATATAAAATATTAATTTCATACATATTCTGACTGTGCCATTATCTTTTACAGGTGCAGCAAGGAAATTAGTGGTTACAGGTGAGTCAACTAACTGGTTTTTGGTTTGTTTCATCTCTACAAGACGTTGTCGGTATATATATATGTATTCACATAGGGTTTTCTGTGCAGGTGCATCCCTGGGTTCATTTGTTCTCATGCTACTGGTCATTGCAGCCTATCATGTCTATAGCTATGACAGAAATGAAAAAGAGAATCGATTGAAAATTGAAAGATTTCTAGAGGACTACAAAGCTCTCAAGCCAAGCAGATATTCTTATGCAGACATTAAGAGGATTACAGATCAATTCAAGGACAAGTTAGGGGAAGGAGCCTATGGATCTGTTTATAAAGGAAAGCTTTCTTCTGAATTATTTGTTGCAGTGAAAGTCCTCAACAGTTCTACGGGAGATGGGGAAGACTTCATAAATGAAGTGGGAACAATGGGTCATATCCACCATGTTAACGTGGTTCGCATGGTTGGCTTCTGTGCTGATGGATTTAGACGCGCTCTTGTCTATGAGTTCTTACCTAACGGTTCACTACAAGATTTCATTTCATCAGCCAACAATAATAACAGTTTCCTTGGTTGGGATAAGTTGCAAGATATCGCTCTAGGCGTAGCCCAAGGAATTGAATATCTTCACCAAGGATGTGATCAACGGATCCTCCATTTTGATATCAAACCACAAAACGTTTTGCTAGACTACAACTTCACTGCAAAACTTTCAGATTTTGGTTTGGCCAAGTTATGTTCCAAGGATCAAAGCCTAGTGTCAATGACTACAGCTAGGGGAACCATGGGCTACATTGCACCTGAAGTGTTCTCCAGGAACTTCGGAAAGGTGTCCTACAAGTCAGATGTCTATAGTTTTGGAATGCTATTGCTTGAGATGATACGAGGTAAAAAGCATATTGGTGCAACCCCGGAGAACACTAACGAAGCTTACTACCCAGAGGCGGTCTATAATCTTCTCGAAGAAGCAGAAGACCCAAGAGTCCATATTGGAGAAGAAGGAGATGGTAAAATTCCAACGAAACTTGCCATTGTAGGGTTGTGGTGCATCCAATGGAACCCAGTGGATCGTCCTTCCATGAAAACGGTGGTTGAAATGTTGGAAGGAGGAGAAAACTTAACCAAGCCGCCAAATCCTTTTGCTTCCACAGGTTCTACAAGAATATTTGCAACTGGGCCATCAAGAAATTTAAATCTAGAGTTAGAAACAATTGTTGAGTTAGAGTAATAAGTAAGATAATGGTACTAAAATTCAATGTATCGTGTTAATACATACAAACAATCCTTACTAAGAGCAACGTGGTAATTTGAAGGGTAAAGTTTGCTACTTTACTATTTTGTTACCCCATCAGTTTCTTCAATTTAATTAATTCAATGTTTGACTTTCCTTTTTCTTTTTAGGCTTATTATCACAAAAGGTCCCTAAGGTTTACGAAACTATCAGATTGCATCCTTAATGTTTTTTTGTGTCACTCGTGGTCCTCAAGGTTAGTATGTATAATCACAAATGG